TCCCATCGCCCATTCACCCATCCATCATCCATCCATCCATCCATCCAGTCACCCCTCCATCCAATTACCCATTCATCCTTCCCATCGCCCATTCATCCTTCCCATCACCCATTCATCCATCCATCATCCATCCATCCATCCATCCATCCATCCAGTCACCCCTCCATCCAATTACCCATTCATCCTTCCCATCACCCATTCATCCATCCATCATCCATCCATCCAATTACCCATTCATCCTTCCCATCACCCATTCATTCATCCATTATCCATCCATCCCATCCTCCATCCAAACATTCATCCATCCTATTATCCATTTATTCATCCCATTGCCCATCCATCCATCCTGTCATCTCATCATCCATTAATCCTACTATTCATCAAGGATTTGCTGAACATCTACTTTGTGCTAAGCTCAATGGAGGTATAAAGCTGAGTAAGACATAGTTCTTGCCCTGGAGAAGCTCAAGATTTGTGGAGACAGAAAATTAGAAATCAACATGCAATGTCCTGGAGTAGGTTCCTAGAGACTGGAGTGAATACTTTTTGGAACGGGTGGAGGCAGGATTGTGGCTCTTGAAAGCGGTATTCAGATCTACAAGACTGAGATGAGAAAAGAGGTGGAAAAGGGACTGGAGCAAAGATAAATTCAAAGCGAGTGAACACAGAGAACCTGACAGGCACTTGGAACATACGGGGATTGTTTCGGGTAGACGCACATGGACTGAGGACTCCACGCTCACACACGTGCATGCACACACACACACCCAGAGGACTCCACGCTCACACACACGCATGCACATGCACACACCCAGAGCTTGGTTCCTTGATCTGAGGACGGTCCAGTGCCTCCAGTCCCTGTCTACTCCGCCCTTGCCATGCCTGTGTTATTTTTAGGTGTTGCTTTCTCTCCAGAGAGAGAGGGCAGCTTTGTTTATGGATGAGAAGCCTCAGTGCCTAGGGTAACAGCTTTCTGATATTTAATCTTCTAGCCAAGTCAAGTACAAGCTGTGCTCTCTGGGGGGTTGGGTGGCGGCGGTGTCAGGGGAGCCTTCTCTGGGAGGGTCTCATACGGACTAGCCCCTGGTTAAAGGCTGCTTTCCACATTTGTGCCCCACTGCCTGGCACCCCCAGCCTACCCTGCACATGGGGGCTCATAGCTGCACTCTGCTTTCAGGGCCCCTGGGTCAGGCCCATCCAGTCAGTACTCAGCGTAGTTGCCCACTCCAGCCTCAGCAGAGGTGTGGATGCCCAAACTGGCTCTAAGCAGCCCTGCCCTGGGCCAGATGTCTGCAGGCCCCTGGGGCTCCTCCTGCTCTCCTTCCTGTCCTGCCTTTTGGGACATGGCAGTGGGCTGGAGATGCTGCTGTGTCTCTGTCACCTTTCAATGCCCTTGGAGAGGATTCTTTAGGGGTCAGGCATGGTGCTGTGTGTGGGCTGCTCCATTTGGTCTGGAATCTTCTCAACCCCTGTGAGACTGAGTCTCCTCACTGTGCTGACGAGTTCAGGAATTTGGCCAAATGCACACAGGTGACATGTGGCACAGCTGAATGGCTCAAGCCTTGGCCTGGACCCACAGCCCATGCTGAGTGCCCTAGTGCTCCAGTGAGCCAGGCAGGCCCATCAGAACAGCTGTGGCTGGGGCTTCCTACCCTCAGCTCCCGCCTGCCCCCATAGGCAGAGCAAATATAGCTCATGTTGTGGGAGGGGAGGTGGCCAAACAGTCAGGCCAAGTCAGCTGTGGGCCACTGACTGAGGGGCGCAGAGGGGAGAAGCCAAGATGTCAGGACCTGCTCCCTCTGCTGTGGGGCTGGGAGCAGTGACAGCCATCACGGGAATGATCAGACAAGGCTTCCTTATTTGACCCCTTGTCTCTGAACTGATTCTTCTTTTGTAACTTTCGAGTATAGCTCTTCCCCCAGAGACTCAGCCTATGTTCTGATTCTGACCTCAGTGCCAAGGACAGGGTGACCTGGAGCCCCCAGCTCTGCAAGGGGAAGCTTCCTGTATCCTGACCATCCTCAGCCCCAGGGGCTCCCCTGGGTGCCACCATATGCTGCCTGGCCCAGCTCCAGCACCCAGCAGATGGCCAGGCAACCCCCTCTGGCAACAGTCCCTGGAGCCTGTTAGCACCCCTGCCCCCGCCTTCCAAAGGGAGGCTTGCGGACGCTCTGAGTCCCTGCTCTGTGACCAGCTTACAAAGGCTAACAGGGCCCGAGTATTTTAGGAGGCCAGAGTGGTGTGCGAGGTAAAAAGCTCTGGATTTGTAAGTGGAAGACCTGAGTATAAACCACTCACTGTACGAGCTTTTCGGGTTCAGCTTCCATGTCTACAAAGTGAGACTGAAGCCAGCCCTCCACTGTTGTTGGCAAGAATTCGGAAAATACACACGTATCGTTCTGAGCCTGAGAGCGTTTGCAGCAAGTTGTTAGGGCCTGACCTGGTGCTTCATCTATGGGGGTAGAGGGGTGGAGGGGTCGGGGGGAAGCGGAGAGAGAAGAAGGTGGTAGCCAGACAGGAAGGGAAGGTTTTGCTGGAGGCTCCTCTCTGGCCCCAAGTGGGCATGTGGGGAAGACTGGGGTCCCCAGCCAGAGCCTGGACTCCCCCAGGCTATGGGCTCCCCGGAGCCTATCTCAGAGATCTGTGCAGCGGACAGCTGAGGGATGTGGAGGCCCTTGGCTACCTGTGGGAGTCAGCAGCCCAGCAGGAGCTGCCTGGCAGCAGGGAGGGTGCTCCTTGGGGTGCATGTGGGTGCTGGTGCCTTACCTGGGTGCACTGTCTTTAGCAAGGCAGTGTCCAGGCACACCTGGGTTCACTGAAGCAGCCTTCCGGGGAAGCTGAGGGGCAGGCCTGGGGTGTGGGTGTGTCTCCCAGGAAAGGATTATGTGAGAGCCCCCAGGAGGTTGGGAGTTCTGCCTCCTGTCCTCCCCTTATGAAGAGAGACATCGTAAGCGAAGTCTGCTGTAGAGAAACCAGCTCACCTTTGCTTCACTCTGTTTCCCCAAGTCATTGGATCAGTGACTTCTGTTTGGCTAGAACACTTGTTGCAGAAGGGGGCCGTTTAGCCCTGTGGGAATCAGCGCCAGCTCTGGGGGCCCTACCTTGATTCCTTCCTGGCTCTGTGACTAGGTAGCCTTGCTCTTGGGCCAGTGATCTGATCTGTTTCCTCATCTGTGCCTGTGGAGCATTCAGTGCCATTGTGTTTGTTTAAAGGTTAGGGCTGGGCTCGGCGCCTATAGCTCAACCGGCTAAGGCGCCAGCCACGTACACCTAAGGTGGCAGGTTCGAATCCCCAGCCTGGACCTGCCAAACAACAATAATGGCTGCAACCAAAAAAAATAGCCGGGCGTTGTGGCGGGCGCCTGTGGTCCCAGCTACTTGGGAGGCAGAGGCAGGAGACTCGCTTGAGCCCAGGAGTTGGAGGTTGCTATGAGCTGTAATGCCATGGCACTCTACCCAGGGGGACAGCTTGAGGCTCTGTCTCAAAAAAAAAAAAATAAAATAAAAAAAAAATAAAGGTTAGGGCTGGCTGGGAGCAGGCAAGGTTGGGTCAGTGCTGGCTGCTGTCATCACAGCAGCCTGGGTGACAGTGCCTCCTGGTCACCATGCAGGACTCCCAGGCACAGGTTCCATGGCTGGGAGTCACAGTGTGGAGGGCAGAAGGCCTTACCTGTTGCTTCCACCATGCCTTCGAGGATAACCACGACTTCAAACTCCTCCTGGTCCAGCTGAGCCCGAGACATCTCCCAGAAGGGGCTCTTCTCGTTGATCTCGTGGGAGATGATGAGGGGCGACACCAGGAAGAGGCGGTCGTCGCCTGTGTCGAAGCCCACGTTGATGTCCGTCTGGTTCAGCGGGATGAACTCGCCCTCCTTGGTCTGGCGCGACTTGATGAGCTTGGCGCGGATGGAGGCCTCCACGATGTGCGAGTTGCGCAGGTCGCCCACGCGGAACATGAGGCACAGCTTGTCGTCGCGCATGGAGATGACCGCGTTGTTGGAGAACATGAGCGTCTCGGCCCGCTTCTTGGGCTGGCTGATCTTCACGAACATGCAGCCCACCATGAAGGCGTTGACAATGGAGCCCAGGATGGCCTGCACCAGCAGCAGCACGATGCCCTCGGGACACTTCTCCGTGATCACACGGAAGCCGTACCCGATGGTCGTCTCCGTCTCGATGGAGAACAGGAAGGCGGACACGAAGCCGCTGAGGTTCTCCACGCAGGGGATCCAGTCCTGGTCGCCCACGTGGTCCAGGTCGCCCCGGATGTAGGCGATGAGCCACCAGATGAAGCCGAAGAGCAGCCAGGTGGTGGTGTAGACCATGGTGAAGACCAGCAGGTTGAAGCGCCACTTGAGGTCCACCAGCGTGGTGAAGAGGTCGCTCAGGTAGCGGTAGGTCTCGCGCACGTTGCCGTGGTGCACGTTGCACTTGCCGCTCTTCTCCATGTAGCGCTGCCGCGGCTTCTTGCCGTCCGCCAGCAGGCGCGTGCGGTCTGTGGCCACCGGCACGTAGTCGCGGGCCTGCTTGGGAATCTTCCTGGGGTCCCACGGGGTGACTCCGATCTCCATGTCCTGGTTCATAGCATTCCTAGAGTCGCCAGCCATCGCCGCCTGGGGTGCTCTGAATTTCAAAGACAGCGTCAGTTAGTGACTGTCCCGCTTCACAGAAACGTAAGACTGGCGGTCACTCTTCCCAGTGGGCGCCCACAGGCCTCTCCTCCACCTACGATGGAGCAGAGTGCACAGTTCAAAAAGGACCCCTGTCCTTCCTGAGTCCCTGGAGCCTAGCACAGACTACCATGTAATAGACTCTCAACAGCTTTATGTCGGGTGAATAAATGAAAAGTGCGTAGATGCAACCTGCATTCTGCCGGGTTTAAAGGATTTGAGAAATCTGGGAGCAATTATAATAATAATAGTAGCAGGGCAGCGCCTGTGGGTCAAGGAGTAGGGTGCAGGCCCCATATACCAGAGGTAGCGGGTTCAAGCCCGGCCCTGGCCAAAAACTGCAAGAAAAAAAAAAGCAATAATTTATTAAATGCCTACTATGTTCTATGCCAGGGGTCCTCAAACTTTTTAAACAGGAGGCCAGTTCACTGTCCCTCAGACCATTGGAGGGCTGGACTGTGGGCCCTGGGATGAGTCAGCTGCCAAGCAGGATAGGCAGAGGTGGCAAAAACACCGGTGGGCCGGATAAATGTCCTAGGCGGGTTGCATGTGGCCCGCGGGCCATAGTTTAACGACACCTGTTTATACAAGGATTATCGCTTATTATCACCACAATAACCTTCGTTGTTGGAATCCTAATTACATAAATGTCATATTGTTACTGATGTCTAATAATCTCCTGCCATCAGAATATCAGAACCACAAGGGCAGAACTCTGTGTCTGTTTCCTGATATATTCCAAGTACCTAGAACATGGCTTGGGACATTCTATACATTCAAAAAGTACTTATTGAATAAATGGAAGAATAAGAAAGAGTCCCCAAGAGCTTAGGTGACACGCAGGCCACTAAGTCCATGGCAAAGCTCATCTTCAGATCCCTGCTCATCTGGCCCAAAGCCTGGGCTCCTTCCTTTATACCCTGCTGTCTCTCTCCCGCCGTTTTATAAGAGACCTTTTAGCCTCAGACAAAAGGGGAAAGGTAGCTTGTGTCTGATTCGGCAAATGGTCACTCCCACCATCCGAGTGGGGAGTCTGTGGCTGTCTGAGCACTTACTAAAAGGAAACATTGCTGTGTGGACCCACCATTAAGAAATTTGAGTCAGTTATTCCCTGTCCTCTGAGAAATTGAGATGGGCAGGCAGTGCCCTCAAGTTTTCAGAAGGCTTTAAAATGTTTGCAGAGTACACGTCACACTTCAGACACCCAGTCACCTGCAACACCCACCCTAGTGCTTTTCTGATAGTCTGTTCAAACCCATTTCAAATGTTTTAAAGGTCCTGATGGTGTTCGAAAGACCACAAGAATCTGTTAAATGTGAAATAGCAGCCTAAATTCATGAGCATTTATGAGCCAGGCACTGCACTGAGAAATTTATAGCCATCAGCTCCTCAAGCAAAGCTATGGGACAGATTTGTTCTTACACCCTCAGGTTTTAGACAAGGAGCAGGAAGTTCAAGCAGCCTGTGTCCTGGTGGGTTTGGGATCTAGGCATATGTGGCTCCCACCTAAGGGCACACGGCACCACCTGCCGTACCATGGCCGGCAGATACTGGGGCTCAGGCTGACGAGCTGCTCCCTCCAGAAAGCTCTGTGGGCTCTTAACCTGGGAGAGATCACTCAGCGCTTTTCCATCATTTTAAGCAAGTTTTCCTTGACCTTGCCGGTGTTCTCCTTCCCAGGAGTCAGGCTCCCCAGCGCCTCCCACCTTCTTTCTCTGAGTGCCTAGGCCACTCTTCCCCGGCGTGTTTTCTTCTTCAGGCTTGGACACCAGCTGAAGCCTTGAACATTCCCAAGCAACTATGAACTTATTTAGCTGCTGCTGAAACACTGACAGATTGCCCAGGAACTCACCCAGCCTTAGGCCACACAAAGGGGCTGATCTCCTTGCTGCAGACATGCCGGGGTCTCTTCCACTGCCTGCCGTGAGCGCCCACAGCACCCTCAAGTGAGTTCTGCTACTAAGTGCTTTGAACTGGTCATCTCGATGTTAGTGCTTCCGTCTTTGGATGTCAACTGATCTCAGGGCTATTTGGGGCAGTCCCTTCTAGGAAGTACCTTGCTGCCACTTTTGCAATCACTACAGACACAGGTCCAGCTAGAAGGAGCACCAGAAACTGTGTTCCCGATAGAACAACCTGCTGACAGGTCTACAGAGCACCGAGCCGGCTGCCTTGCTGGCCAGCCACGGCCCATGTCCCCATCCTGGGAAGTCAGCTGACCTGGCAGGCTTTTTCCTTTACTGCCTGGGTGGCTGCAGCATGCTCAAGGCAACATTTAAACATCCTACTGACGGGCCACCTGAGGGGCTATTTGTGTCCGACAGCCATTAGCCATTTCCTATTCTGTACAGAGCCACCTGCTCCCTCCCTCATGTGGCACCAACAAGGTGAATGGAAGAAAGAGGGAGACGCTGAAGGCTTCTTTGGAGATTCCAAGCAGGAGTTTGCTCTGCCCCTAAGTAGGGGACTTGATTCTGAAAACCAGAGGCTCAGAGATGAGGAGACCTGGTGCTGATGCTGAGGCCCTGTGTGCTCCTGGGGCCCCAGCTGCTGGAACCCAGAGTTCCAGGAGGAGTGGAGACCTCCGCAGCCACTGATGTTGGATAGGGCAGGCACAGCGCCTGTGAGAACGAGCCATCGGGCAGGGCGCGGGGGAATGCACATCCTCCTGCCCTCAGCTCTTTGGGGAGAACAGCTTTCTGCTGATTTTCTGCACTGTTTCCTTCTTTATTTTTAAACATACTCGCATACGTTCTTCTAGGCGAAGGCCCTGTGCTGTACTACAAACAGGGAAATGTTTTCTAGGACACTTCAGCCTAATTCTGAAAACTGTTTATGTCTGGCAGACAGGAAAAGGTAGTCTGCTGATCTGATGCTGGGACACGTTCTCCATGGGTGCCAGAGTCACCTGCAGAAGTTAGTTCTAACTCAACCCAGGGAGTCTAGCTGGGTGTCCAACATACTTGTTCTGTGGTTCAAGGAAAGCCTTAATTTTCTTTGGCTCAGTAAACTCTGTTGTAAATGCCAGATAATATTCTCTGCCTCTGCAGCCTTCAGGAGGCATTGTAGGGATTTGAGAATATATGATAACAATCATCAACGTAACTATAAGTATACGTGTATATTTGTAAATTCTCTTTGAATTGAACTGTGATGCAATGTCCCAGCAACCCCATTTAAAGATGAAGAAAGAGAGGCAAAGAACATCTAAGTGTGGGTCTAAAGCCCCAGTGGACAATTTGCAGGGCAGCACTGAGCTGGCCGGCACAGAGCCTCTACTCTCCAGATTCTTTAGGGGCAGGTAAAATGCCCATCCTGAAAGCCTGGCCTCCAGTGTTGCATGCCCATCAGGTCAAAAGGCTTTCCAGGAACCATGCAGATGAGTCTGTTCAATCAGGCATTCAAAGTCCATTGTCCCACTTAGCATTAAGTGAGGCCCTACTCAGGCCAGCCCTGTGTTAGGAGCTGGACACAACGCAGAGAAGATGAGTGCAGAGCCAGCCTCCTGAAGCTCACATTCTAACATTGCCCCTTTGAACCTGGGGTCTCTGCGAGAGAGAGAGGCAAGAGGAAGGCCCTGGCCCAGGCGAGCCAGGTATTCTAGCTGGTCTCTGTGAGACACGGGGAGAGGCACCCAGCAGAGCAAATCCCGTTAGACCTCAGCCAGCCTGTTACCGCTCTTCCTCCTCTAAGCCTGTCCTGTGTCTGTGAATGGGAAGCTGTGCTCAGAGGTGATGAAAGCTTCTGGAAAAGACAGAGCTTCAAGTCCAGCAAAGTGGTTTAATCCCTTTGATATGAAAACACAAGTGGAGAAAGATTCAAAAGAGGCAGAATCAAAGTCAGTTATATTTCAGATAGTGCATTAGCAAATCTGACATCCATTTAAAGGGACCTCTGTGTTCAGGATTTCAAAAAACACCCACCACAGTGAGGAAGCTGTGTCACGGGCGGAGTAGTGGTGGCAAAAGCCTGACAGAAGCTGCCTGGAGGGGCTCTGGGCTGGGAGTCTTCTCAGACTCGATGTCCCTGCCTGTGAAAATGGAAACTGGAGCAACTTTATCAATTTCCTTCTTTCTGTCACGTATGGTCAGGACCTGCCTTTCCTGAGAGTCGGGACATGGGATAAGGGTGGAGGAAGAAGACTGGAGGGGACATACTCTGTGCTGTACTGGGGCATTTTATGCTGCTGTCTATGAGTCTCTGCACCTGCTAAATATGAAATGCTCCAAACCAGTTCATGAATAAGCTGTCCCATTTCCTGCAAGGATTTTCAGGGTTAGCAGGGAGGATTACAGGTGTCATGGACGGAGTGTCCACTGGGATAGAGAAGGCAATGTAAGCAGGCAGACTTGGAGATACCCTTGTGATTCTTGCCCGCTGGTTTATGCCCTTGTCTAATCCCTGGGAGTTGGAGATGGGAGCCTCACACCCAATATTAGGTTATGCTACATGGCGCAGCTAGCTTTAGGAAGGGAGTCTGCCCTAATTATAGAAGCCCTTGGAAGGGACCAGCCTTTTCTTGTCACAGAAGAGTCAGCTCATTAGAGGAATTAGATGAGAGGAAGATTCTTCTCTCCTGGCTGTAAAGATGGAGAGGCCACCTGGCAGGGAATGTGGGTGACCTCTGGGAGCTGAGAGCAGCCCGCAGCTAACAGTAGCCCGCAGCTAACAGCCAGCAAGGAATCCAGGACTTCAGTCCTGCAACAAATAACTGAACTTGGCCACAACCCCGGGGGCTTGGAGGAGGGCCCTGAGTTCCAGGTGGGAATACTGACCCTCTGCTGACACCTTGATTTTGCCCTTGTGAGAACAGAGTGGAGCTTAGGCACATGGTTTGGCGCCTCTGACCTGTAGACCTGAGGGCTAATAAGTAAGTGCTGTTTCATGACATTAAGTCTGTCGTCATCAGTTATGGCAGAAATAGGAAATGCAGCCCAGTGAGGGAAGCCGG